TCTCTTATTATGCAAATTGAGGGTAAAAACACCCAAACTCAGTCTACAAGGATGTCACAGCCCACCAACAACAACATACATAAGAGCCATCAACAATAGAGAAGGAAAATCAGGATTATCACCCAAAAATGCAGCGTCGCACCAGCTGCGATTACAGAAGATCCGTAGCTCCGATTAATGTGAAACTTGAACAGATTGAAGCCCAAAGTGTTGGGAACAACCTCTGAAAATTTCAGCTCAATCCAACGGTCGGATCTCCGGAGATGATCGAATTTGTGCGGCTGGTCTGTAAATTCTGCACCAGCACCTTTCCTCTCTCTATTCTGTTTTTTTTCTCTGTGTGCTCTCTCTGCTCTGTTCGTAAGCACTGCCACTGCCCAGCCCTTCTACTCTCTTTTTTTTAGTCAACAAAGTAAAAACATAATTGGGCCCTCCACCAAAGAAAAAAAATGGAACCCAAATGAAAATGGGCTGGACCCACAACATCTACTTCATCTTACCGTATATAGAATACTTTGTATTATATTATTCATTTTTAAACTCTCTGATTATTATTGTTGTTATTATATTTATCATTACTATTAGCATTATTTTTTTTATAGTTATTAGTATTCCGATATTATATGAATTGGGAAAAAAATTATTTTTTAACTTTGGACTCGTTATCTTTTATTCTTTATGTTTATGATCCGTTTAAATTTGAAATCCATACTTTTATTTAACAAACTTGTGCTTTTTATACAAACTTATACATTATTTTTAATATTCTTTGAGTAATGTACAATTATTATTTTTGGCACGATTTGAGCATGGGTATGGTATTGTACCGTTCCGTTTCAAAACGGAATGGTACGAATGGTTTTGGAGTTCATCCCGTACCGATACCGAACTGTTTAAATAAGAGCGGTCCGTGATAGGTTCCGGTACTATCACGGACCGCGCCCACCCCTACTTGGAAGCATTAATTGAAAAAAAAGAGAATATTTTGTTTCACTTTTAATGTGTAGAGAACGTATCAAAATAGGAGTTTCATGTTTTATTCTAAATAGGAATTCGTACTATGGTAATTTAACATTGTACATGTGCATTTTACGTAATGTACATGGTCATGATTGGTAATGTAAATGCATTTTAATTCCCATTTTGGGAATAAAAACATAGAAATCTTAGTTTTGGTATATTTTCAATGTTTTACTGCTATTTTAGTCTTTTTCCCATCGAGATAATCATATCACCAAAATTAATTTAGAAAACCACAAGAACCCCATGGGTCCGTTTGGTACACGAAATTGACGGAATTATAATTGAATTGAGAGTTGAAATTCTATGAATTTGATTTGGATGGAATTGAATTCTCTAATTCTAATTCATTTTTTGGACTACCAATTCCTTTGAGGCACTGGGGTAAGATTGTTGTATGATGATGATTTTGATTATACCCCTACTTAGAATTGAATTTAGAGTTAATTCTATGGATTTGATTTGGATGGAATTGAATTCTCCAATTCTAATTCATTTTTGGGACTACTAATTTCAAATTCACATATTCTTGTGCTACGAAACAGTAGAATTAGAATTGTTGTCTTCAATTCAAATTTCATAATTTGAATTCCGTGTAATAAACGAACCTAACTTTAATTTATTCAACCGAAGACTGGATAAAAAAAGAATGTTACTTGGTCCAGCGGGGCATCCCCCTCTTCCTCGTCCCCCTTTTGGGAAAACTTTTTGTGATTAAATTTAATACTCATAGTAGATTAATAAAATAAATATGAAATTTGTATGAGGAAGATGTATAACTGAAATAAATATATATATATGTATAGATATATAATTTTCAAATAAATCTTATACTGAAATAATATTTCAAATAATTTTCAAATAAATAACTGAAATATGAGTATAAAATTTTAATATTTCAAAACTACATTTCAAATAAATCTTATACTAATAATTTTCTTAAATGATCCTTTCTAATCGGAAGTTTTATCATATTGGTTCATTTTTAAAATAAAAACCTATCAAATGTAGAAATATAATTTTAAAACTTACACGATGAGAATATACTGTAATATATAAAAACATATATTGGAGATTTTGATTTTTAAAGGATTTAAGAAGAGTGTATTTTGAAATATAAAAACATATATTGGAGATTTATACAAAATCAGGATGAGAATATGTTTTCGGAGACGGATGAAGTTTTTAATAGAAATTAACAAAGTTTTTTGGAATGAATGAAAAAAGAAAGGAGAAAGGTTTCGGAGACGGATGAAGTATTAAACATATATACATATACCGATACATAGGGGCTCTACAAGTATTAATCCTTAGTTACAGTCCAATTTGTGGCCGCATGCAAGACCCATTTCTGAAATTGTGATAACCTAAGGCCGTGTTCTCTTCAGCTGATCTAATATGATCTGAACTAAATTTTTTAAGGCTGATCTGATATGATCTGAATTAATCTGATCCAATCTGATGGATTTAATTAAAATTCAAATAATAATGATAGTTATGATTATACTTATTATTATATTAATAAAAATAATAATTTACTATTAACTATTAATAATAATAATTTTAAATAATAATAATTATAATTGTAATTATTAATTTTTACTATCAATATAATAATTATTAGTTTAATAATTATATTTGTTATTATGATTATTATTAAGCTATATGATTATTCATCATGACTATCATTATTAATTATAATTTATAATAAAAATCTATTCTTAAGTATTTTAAATAACTATTGTTACTAGTATTAAAATGATAATTTTTATTATTAATAATTATAATTTTAATTATAAATTATTATTATTATTATCATCATTTGTAGTTGAATGATTTTATTTATTATTATTATAATCAATTATTATTATTAAGTGTTATGTTTATAACAATAATAAAAATTTATTATTATTTAATTTTATAATTATTAGTAATAATATTACAATAAAAATTATAATTGTAATTATTAATATTGTTGTGATTATTTTAGTTATATATATATATATATATATATATATATAATAAATATTAATAATAATTATTAATAATAAGTGTTATGATTAACGATGAAATCTATCATTATTAATTAGAAATCTAACTAAAATAATAGTTATTCTTAAATTATATTATTATTATTAAATACTAATCATTATTATATTTACAACTAAATAATATTATGAATTTTTATTATCATTATTAGTTAACAAAATTTATTATAATTATTTTTTCAATTGTTTTAATTATTATTATTAAATTTAATTATTATTATTATTATTGATTACTACTCGTATGACTTTTATTATTAAGTATGATGATAGTTATGAATATTATTATTAGGGCTGTTCAATCGGATTGATCCGATCTGATCCGAAAATTCGGATATCCGAAAATTTCGGATCATGTTAAACTCATTCCATGTCCGGTCCGAAAATTCGGATATCCGAATTTTCGGATCGGATCATTGGATTATCCGATAAGTTGATTTTGTAGCCAAAATTTAAAAAAAAATGGTAAAATAGAAAAATCAACCCACAATATCAAATTCAATATAGATTTACTAAAAGAAAAATTTCACCACAAGATAATGGTCTAATAAAAAATTTGATACCAAATTTAATTTGGGAGTAACTTTGGTAATTTTGCCTAAACAAACAAAAAAAATTACTATTAAAACAAAAGGTTTTAAAATGCTAATGCAAAAAGTCCAAAATGTTTGAGTTCCAAAATCAACATAAAATTGCATTAAACATATACCCATAATATATATATCTATAAGATTCCATTAAACATATAGCAAAAAAAATCGGATATCCGATTATCCAAAAAATTCCAGAAATTGAATCCATATCTGATCCGATTTTTTTCGGATATCTGATCCGAAATATTCGAAAGCCAAAATATCGGATCAGATATCCATTTTTCGGATCGAATATGCCCGGATCATGGACGGATTTTTTGGATCGGATATTTTTGAACACCCCTAATTATTATGCCTTTTTATTGTCATTATTATTAAAAAAAAAGTATAAATATAATAATAGCTATTATTTTTATAATAATTAATTAATGTATTGTAAGTGAGAAGTTAATATAGCTATTATTTTTATAATAATTAACGTGAATAATATAAAATGGTAAGCGTGACGTTAATATAATTATTATATACTCCG